TATTACCACTAATAAAGTGCGTATTGATTTAATTCTTTTTATAAAATGCCATCAATGATTTTCACAGTAACTGAATATCTTATTGGCTGTTTTAATATTCTTACACGGATGGAAAGTATAGTGATCAATATAAATCCGAACAATATTCAGCCAGCTTATAAATATTTAATTAAAAAACATGTTTTAGAATATTATTTCCAATTAAAAACGGTATTTTTTTCAGTGATTGTAATATTTTGCCTTTGGGTATTAGCAACTTCAATTTCGCTAAAGATAGAAATGTCAAAGTCAAACTACGCTTCTTGAAGTTAATCATTAAAGCATTGCTGGTTGATAGAGAGTGCTGCTTTTTAGAATTTCGCATATTGATTATACCGGTGAATAAGTAAGTCTGTCGTGAGTACTCAAGAATCTAACGACAATTTTAATGAGATGATCTACAGTGTTTTCCACTTTTAACGAAATCTTGGACAGACAGCTAATTATACTTTAAAAGCAATATTTTATTAGCAAAAATTTCTCTATTTGTCATATACAGCCCAATTAATAGCACAAAATTTGGCAGAAAATTCAAACGTTTTTCATGTACCCAGTTACGGTATTTATTTTTTGAAGATTCACGCCGTCATGATAAATATCAAACACCGTAGGCTACTATATTATGTGTTCATCTCGTTTCGTTGCCTTATCTACTGTCATTTTGTCTAATAAACATATATCGAGAGTTTTTTGTGAGCTAGTGGTCGATGACATTTCTCATTATCTTAATTTGTGTAACTTATTTTTTGAAGATCCACGTCGTCATGATAAATATCAAACACCATCTTATGTGTACGTCTCGTTTCGATGGCATCTACTGCCATCTTTGTCTAATAAGCATAATTCGATAGTTCTTTGGAAGGTAGTGAACGATGGCATCTCTCGGCAGTTTTGAATTGAGTAACTTGAACAATGTTATAGCCATATTTCGCTTAAAACAGTAAATTTATAACATAGCTTTTCACTGACCTATTGTAGGGTTGAGAGATTAATAAAAATTGTTTCGGGCCGTATTTGTCAATAAAAATGAAGATGATATATTTCAAAATATTTATGTATACTTAAAACGAAATTGGTAGGAAATACACTTTAACTTGATACCGCAACTCAAACCGCTGATGTATAAATAGAAGGAAGCGTAATATTATCGGTCTTAAATATAAATTTATTTTAGAAATAAAAAATTGCCAGAAGGTTGATTTAAGGTGGATAAGTGATGGTAAATGGTAGCGCATATGCACAAAATAAAAATATATTTATTGTAGTTTAATGTTAATATAATGTTGTTGGAAGCCAATTCCTCGTATAGGTTGTTATTAGCAACAGTATAATAAGGATAGAAATTATTTGGTGAAACTATATATATGATAAAAATATTACGTAAATTGTCTTGTATAATTTATATTTCAATGATTTTGAAACAGTTTCATGATAAGAAATACGTGGGCCAGCAGATAATTAACTAACTGAATTATGAAGCCCTCGTGATTAGGTTGCAAACCAAGTGATTCTGTGACACAGATTATAATTGATAGCGAGTACTTGCTGAAGATTGGTTGGATTACAGTTTCGCTATCCCAAGATGCAGTTGCTCTATTTTTATTATTATTATGGAATCTGTTCCAATTAAAACTGACTTTGTATTGAACAGTGTAAGTCATCAATCTAAGTCATCAATTATGTGAATTTTCCCTTGATACAAAAAGTATTCGGAAGATAGAATGTTTTACAGATTTTCAGCATTTAGCATTACTATTCTTTCAGTCAAAATCGTTTCATCAATTTGTCACGACATCTACAAAGATATAAAGTGTGGTAATAAAAAATTTAGGACGCAAAGTAAAGACACAAATCAGAGTAAATTTATTTCCACCGAAATAGTATTTATATTATTAATATTTCGTTCTCTTCTACGTTCTCGTCCTTATATCGGAAACATGTTCTTACCATCTAATCGTTTTCTTGAGTCGCTTCGTGGTCTTAATGATGCCACCCGCGAGACCATGACACCAAACTGTTTTTAGTAGGAAATTCAGTTTTGATAAACGTAACACAATCAAACATGGGACATCGGCAGTGCTGGCATCACTGAATATTTTTATGCAATGACATAAGATGGCAAAAAAAATGCAATCAATAATAATTGTACAAGGCCGCGTAAGACTTTCCGAGTCAGGATCGAAAAGCGTTTGGGGCTGTTTTTTGTTTGTATTTACATTATATATAATAGGATATATATTTGGCGAACAACTGCGCAAGAGAAAATTTCCTATATGATTCCAGCTTTGTGGTTGGCAATTGTGATATAAGAAGGATCATTATCATGACAACTAATATGTATAAAGCTAGCGGGGTTACGTAAGGTCGTTGCAACCTACGTCAATTGCATTAGCTGCAGGTCATATTCCTAATTCTTTGAGCAAGAATGACTGCTTATTTTGAATCGATAAACTATTATCAATTTTTGGTACTAATAAACACTAGTTCAGTGGTTCTCAACCGCCGGTCCGCGGACCGGCGCCGGTCCGCAACAACCTTGCTGCCGGTCCGCAACAACCTTGCTGTCGGTCCGCCAAATATATTCCAATATTATTATATTATAAGCAAATTACAAAATACAAAGTATTGATGGCATGTCCATTAGTTTTGTGATTTTTTTCATTCTTTTTGGATCGTAGTACCGGTTTTCGTCTAACAACTAAACTTGGTGAGAAGTCCTCCGCCCATTTCGAACCGTGAAAGGGGTAAGTCTATGACCTCATAACGGGATAACGTCATAACGGAAGAGTTTAATAGCAGGTAGTATGGTAGCGCTTCACAGCCAGCGATCCGCGAACTCGTTGCTAAATTATTCGTATTTTTCTATATTTTGTGTTAGAATTAAAATTAATTCGACTTTTTAGTAGGATGGCAATGGTTTTCTCGTAAGAATCCCAATCAATTTGAGCGATCGAGCGTGACTATCGGATTCGTCTGCTGTCAAATTTATCAAAAAGCGTGAAAATGTATAAATTATTTTTATGGCATCATTACAATTACAGCTTCAGATTTCGACTTAATAGAAATAAATGCGTAAATAAGAAGGCAATGCCCATAGCGCAACCGTGCGAAATTGTCGCAACAATATGCGGCGCACGCCCGAACAGAAGATAAGAAGCAATCAAAGTTCTATTTCATCGTCATTAATATACGTGAAAGACGCAGAAAATTGCTTGAAGATTTCACTCGAAAACGAAACACCCAGCTGACAGCGAAAAATGGCTATCATTCGCAATTATTCAAAAATTTGCCGAAAAGGTATTAAAATATTCGATTTGTTTTGGGCAACCCTGCCTCGACTTATTACTTATCGATCTTAAGATCGGTAAGTATATTGATAGGTATTTGTCTGTATGTCTGTATGTATGTCTGTCTGTGTGTCTGTTAGATGCACGCGATATCTCACGAAGGCGTGGTTGAATCTGCTCCAAATTTTGCATGTGCATTCATCATATCTCGGACCAGAAGCCTATTGATTTTGGATGAATTATGTCGTATAATTAGCGAGTTATTAATTAATTAGTGATGAAGAGATCTGGATTTTCACAAATCGAGAGATTTTCGAGACGCGCTGAATGTGTGTGTGCGTATCAGATGCGCAAGTTTCCACGCTAGTGAGTCAGAGCGAAGGATACACACCGCTAGATCGTATCTCGTGATTAATCTTTGAGCCTTGTCCATATCTCTCTTGTAACTTTGACGTCGTCGCGATGCGCAAGTTTCCTTCGAGAAATTTTCCACACTATTGAGTCAGAGCGAAGGATACACGCCGCGAGATCGTATCTCGTTACTTATAATTACTCCTTTAAGTTTAAGCAATGTCCATATCCCTAAATCAGGTTCGGGGTTGCAGAATTCCTCACCAAAATATCGCTAGGCTGTGTTTGAATAGCCGTCGCAACCTGGGTTAGCGCCGTTGTATTTGACACAAACTATAGGATTGGTAAATACAGAAATAGGCTATTGGCTGGAAACTAATCGAAACAATCCAGTTCGGATTTGCAGAATTCTTCATAAAAGTATTTCCTCGAGTAGTATTTCGACGACATGGGGAGTTGGCTATTGTTTCCTACATTTCTGATATTGGCTGAAAACTAATCAAAACAATCCAGTTCGGGTTTGCAGAATTTTTCGAATCGAAACCGCAGTTTCTGTTTTGGGGGATCCCCTAACTTTCGATCGATAAGTCTTCGGTCTCTGACCGATATTCTCGTTTTAGCCCTTGAAACAAAAATGTTAATAAAGGTGGTCCGCGAAGTAAAACTTTCCATGTGAGTGGAGCGCGACATAAAAAAAGTTTGAGAAGCGCTATAGTACGGTACATGATTGAGAACTTCGCAGTTGGCACGTTCTGTAGTTTGACAGTCGTAATTGCATTCTTTTGATGAAGTTTTGTGTTTTTGGTTGATTTTGAAGGTCCGCCGGTCCGCAAAGTTTGTTTTGAAATTTTACCGGTCCGCGAACTAAAAAAGGTTGAGAACCACCTCACTAGTTCATTCCACAAACCGTTTAAAACAGGTAGATGGTGTTTAGACTTTAGCTTAGAGCAATACGTTTATTTCTGTAATTGGATATTTTCAAAAACGTTTTTTCAGATTTATGTGTTGAAAAAATAGTGTTAAATTAATACTTTGAACGCTGTACGTTTGTATTTGGAATTATTCATAACATTTAATTATAACGTTTGAAGTAAAAAAGAAAATATTAAGCTAGTAAAATAATAGTGGTAATCACCAGCTGCGAGTTCTAATGAAAACGACAAACCTTCTATATATATCTACACCACCTTCGATCCACTGTGGTTGTATTTAAATTTTCAGGGGAAAATTGAGTTATCATGCATAGAATATACTTTAAAACTTTAAACATTTTGCTTTCACTTTTTAAAGAATATGAAAACAAATAAAAGTAATCTGAACTTATCCAAAATGTCGGAAAATACTGCTAATGTGACACAAACAACAAAAGCATCGACGCCGCCAGTAGCGGAAAACAATTATGACCAGCACAGAAACTGGATCATTATTGAGTCGCTGTTTGCTCTGTATACATTAATAACTATTTGGATCATTATTGCTATGCTCCATTACGGTATGAAGCATAGAAAATTCTATTGCAGCAGACAGAGACAAAGAAAACATGGAACTATTTATACCATGATTTCCATTGTATTTTTGACGTCGATACCAAGATTAATCTTACTGCAGATCATCCAAGCATCTTACGCTCATCCAACAAACGATATTGCGTGCAACATCGGAATGTTTGGATTCAAGGTGTTTTATATTTTAAGCTTATTCGGGACATATGTGACATTGTGGTCTCGACAGTGGCTACTGTATGCCAGACCCAATTTCAAGAATCTCACAGAAGGATGGTTTCGAAGACTTCAATACGCCTGCTTGGTACTTATCATTTTAACGAGCGTACTTGGAATGATCAATCATATTATACCTATACGTACAGAGATATCGCCTATTGGCTGCAAAGAAATTTTGAAAGTGACCGCAGCAAGAATGATGCATTTAGCCAACGTAGCCTTGACTGCCATAAGTCAAGTAATGCTCGTAGTGCTTTTTTCATATCCTCTCTACAAACAGATTCAGAAGAATAAAAATATGAGAACGACGCGCAGAGAATCCACGCCGGAAGAAAATAACACAACCGTACCATCACCGAGACCCACCTCAGAGTTTTCGGATCCCCCAACTGTACTGAGCGAGGTAGAAGCCATAGAAAAGGCAAAAAATGTGAAGAGATGTGCACAAGTCAAGAAGTCACGACGCCCTCTCATATCAATTTTGAAGCGGTCTTCGGTGCTCTCGGGATTTTGCGCCTTTAGCGATATCACAATATTCCTAATAGTACTTGCCCTGAACAAAATCTACGTAACGCAGCCACTGGGCCTTCACGTGTATTTAACGATATTCGAAACAAATGCTTTCGTGAACCAGATTGTCATATTCTTCATGCTCAATAACTGGAAAAACATATTGTTAACATTATTTCTGAACAAGTAAGAGTAGGCTACATCCAACGAACTCAAACAGAAATAATGAATATAAAAAGCATTGATGATACGAAACTTCATTTTGAACACTATTTAAGTTTTTCATATAGGTATCACAATCCTTATATGAAAAACTTGAACAGTAGTTATATGTGAAGTCTTTTTAAGCGTTAAAAGTTAGTTTAATAAGTACCAATTTTCATTACGTACTTTCATTATTTTCAATTCCATAAATTAACAACGACATTAAGATTTTTGATTTGTATTTGTTTAAAGGTTTGTATTTTTCACAAACGCATTAAATCCTCAATCCATCTTACTTTTTCTTAAGATTTATGTGGTGAAGACTCCCAAGTGAATTATCTTATTTTACCACGTGAATCCCGAAAAGAACCTTGAGCCTATCCTGTTCGTGAAAAATGGATGTAATTCATGAAATTAAAAAACACTTGCAGCTATCCCATTAAACCATAACATTTCTATAGCTCACTGTCTGTTATAATGGCTTGTCAAAATAACCAAAATAACACGGAAAATTTTTTTGCATACAATATTATTCATTTGTTGTGAAATATGTAATTTTTTTTTATTATTTTGTATTATTATAGTATGAAATATTTTGAGTCAATACATTTTGATAGTAAGCTGAACATTTTCGATGTTCGAAAACGGTCGTTTTCATATCGAATTTTCAGACTAAAAACCACCACGAAAGGTAACGCAGGCGACTATTGGAATACACGTAATACCTAGGTTTGGGACGAGTTCGCCGATTGACAGATTCGGCGAATCCGGGTAATATCTTAACTCTTTCTAGTCATAGAGTGTTTTTTTTATTTTCTAAGTAAAGAAAACTAAGAGATAATAAGCCTGTTATCAGTCATGCATCTTCGATATTAAAAATAAATTAACGTGTGAATTGAAGATTTGCAATCTTCCATGACACAAATAAAGATGGGACCTGAGATTTCTAGCTTTGATCATTTTGAGTGTTTCCAAAGTCCTTATTCACAACAAGCTTGCCCTACCAGTGTGTTAACTGTGGTCGGCGATATAAATGAGTTTTAAAAGCAGACATTTTAAAACTTGGCCAAAGTATGTTTCATGATAGTGGTGCGATTGTTCCGGCAATCTACATCCGAATGTCACTTTTACCTAGCTCGCATGTAAAGTCAGTTAGTCTGATATTTGAATATTTTTTTTCGGCAATTCCAGTATTCAGTAATTAATTATTGCCTTGATTGGTTTTATGTAAATAAACTTGCTTCCTATGTATTATGTAAATTCAAGAATAAATCAGAACTTGGCTGGTTATTAAGTTCGGACAAAAGTCCGTTCCGAGAATACATTTCATCTGAGGGTCATGTGAAAGGCCGGTGTAGGGAGGTTAAAATCTATTTTTCTATTTCATACTTGCCCATATTTAGTAGACAAAAAACTAGAACCCCTTGACACTTCTGAATTCAATTTTGAAAATGTTAGTCCATGCCTGTCACTTGAGACTGCTGACAGTGTACGTAACATCCTAGGTTGTACCAGTTGATCTAAAAATAAGCTCACTTTGGCTCATTTCAATATTCGGTCTATACAAAAGCATATTGACGAGTTGTCTAACATTATACATGATCTAAATTCATCCCCTACTGTGATAGCGTTATCCAAAACAAAACTCAAAACAGATCCTTTAGTTAATATAGATATTGAAAGTTATGTATTCCTTCATACGCCAACAAAACTCAAGCTGGTGGGGTTGGGCTATATGTAAAGTCTTATTTAAATCCGTTATTGGTACACAAATATATTCTGAATGCGAAAAACTTTGGGTTGAAATACCTATTCATTGTGGAGAGTCTTCTTCTATTATTTTTGGTGTTATATATCGACACTCTGGATCCAGTGAATCTGATTTTATGCGCGCTCAAAGTGATACCCTACACCAGTGGTCGGCAACCTTTTTTAAGTGACGGACCAATATTATTGGCGGACCACTTTTATACGAACGAACTTACATACAGTTATATGCATATTAAGAAGTAGAAAATTCATTTAGCATATTCGAAAACAAAAGTGATGCTATTTAATCGAGATCTGCATTAGTTTGCTGTCCATTAACTGTTCTCAATTGGAAAACACGGTCGATAGTGATACACGTAGCATGTTGCTCACGTCCTGCCTATTTCGGCGTTGACAAGACCATCCCGTCGTTCAAAGAAGTTTCTAAGGATTCATTGCCTCATTTGAATGCTTAGTATGACAAAGATCGCAAACTGGACAAATTTTGTTGCTGTCACGTACGGTTACAAATACAACAGTCACGTTGTTAGCGAGAATCATTATTTTGTAAGCGTAGTAGTATATATTTACGGTTGGAGACATCTTATTTAGACTGATTCGGAACTTTCTCACGCAGAGGCAAAATTGATGCAGCATTATTTCGACATATTGACGTGAAAATTATTTACGAAGTCAGACATGCTGCTCAGATGCATTGTATTTCTCTGCTTTGCTATTGGGTGATGTTTTTTAGTTGTAGTTGTTAGATTGTCGAGGTGTTATTTGAGCCTTGTCCGCTTTTGTGTCAACCTTCTGCGGACCGGTAGTAACCTTTCCGCGGACCTGCAATGGGCCGCGGCCCGGTGGTTGCCGACCACTGCCCTACACCATCTGACACTTGATAAAAAGAAATATATTATATTGGGTGATATAAATATCAACTTACGAAGCTCCACATCATTTGCAATAGGTTTTCTTGACATGCTGAGGTCCCATGCCACAATTCCATTAATTACATACCCAACTAGAGTAACCAGCTCCAGTGCTACTCTAATTGACCATATTTATTCTAATATATCTGAGAAACCGTTTCATGTATTGTATGGCAGCACTGCATGACTGACCATTATCCCGTTCTTTGTCAATCTCAACCTCGTCATGCATCTCCCATGTTCAACTCAAGTTGAAACGTGATATGAGATTCTGCTAAATTCATTCAAGATGCCCATGAACTTTTTTACTTGCATGATCTTATCAGTATAAATGCGGATAATTTCAATTCATGTTTTAGCAATTTTATTACCAAAATTCTTACTGGATGTGATAAACATGCACCACTAAGAATGCTAACTAGAAAAGAACGCCAACCAGAAAGGAAACCCTGGATAACAACTGGCATCTTGCGGTCGACTGAAATCAGAGATAAGCTACATAAATCTCATTTCGATAGGGGTTCCATGGAACAAAAACTGTACTACAAAAAATATGCCAACAAATTGTGTCATCTGAAGCAAAAAGCTAAAGAGATATATTTCGCCAATTGTTTTGAAAAAAATAAAAATTACCCCAAAATAACTTGGAGCACAATCAATTCTTTAATAAACGCAAAATCAAATAAAGGCATTCCACTAAAGCTCGTAAACCAAACTTTGGGGAGATTGTGCATGACAAGGAAAAAATTTCGCGTATGTTCAATAGTTACTCCTCTCAAATTGGACTAAATTTGTCTTCCGCATTCCATACTGTGAGTGACAACGAACACCTCCAATTCATGGGTTCGCCGAACAAGTCGTCCATGTTTATGGAGGATTCTTCAATTACCGAAATAGAAAATATCATCAATTCTTTAAAAAGACATGAGGCAACTAGTTTGGATTTCTGCCCATTGACAAATCACCCTTGCCTACTATGTCTCTTTAACTAATATCCCGAAATGAAACGAATAGATTTTTTCCAAAGTGTTTTAATCCAGATATCAGTAAGACAAAGTGGCCTGACAAACAATAAAGATGAATATTAAAATGAGTACAGGCAACCAGGCACAATACAAAGCAAGAATATACCAATTCCCTTGCATTTAAATGAGGCTTTGTCAGAACAGATTATCCCAATGGTAGAAACTTAAGAAATAGATTATTCATACCCAATGACTATAGCACCATTAACAAACTCATGAGAACAGATCTAGAGACAGACTAAAGCTCTAGACAGTTAACCATAACAAGAAGTAATCAAGTTATCAGCCAATAATCGCGATGCAGTGAACCATACGTAAACACACCAAAAGTAAGTAGTACCAAGATAAATCAGTCAAATGTTCAAACCACTCCCCCCCCCCAGTCTATGAATGCAATAAAAAGACGATAATATTGAACATTGTTGACTCGGAGTAACTGATATGAGATTAGATGTCTTTCAACCCACATTGTAGCATTGTAGCTCTTCCTTGGTCGCAATTAGACAAAGTTTATGTATTGGTCGATTGTATAAATTCCCATCGCTGTCTTTGATTGTAACACTTCTCACTAAGCCATCTGAACTGGGCATAATGTTGTGAACCAGTGCTTTTTTCCATAGACCTCTGGGTGCACTTCCGCCCTTAAATCCAGGTTGAAGAATTATCTCCAACTTGAAGATTGCGTCTTGTTCGAAACCATTTGTTAGCAAGTAATAGCTGAGGCGGTATGTGTTTCATCCATATTTTCCAGAACACCTCAACTCTGTTTTCCGCCGCTTTTAGCATGTCTCGTGGATTGAATCTCCCTTATTGTGTGAGTATTGCCAGTAATACAATTATATTCCGAAGGGTTTTCAATCTGGGAAAAGTGGTCGACTATTGGTGATATAAGTAATTTTGTTGAGAACAGTTGTCCATTCTTCGTAGGTCATAAGAGCCCTGCTGTAATTCACCACTGATGCATCGAGTGCTTTGCGAACCGAGTTGATAAGCGATTCTACTACTCCATTCATATGTGACGCGTAAGGCACATTATATTTCCAATCAAATTTCGTTTGATTCTCTGCCATCTCATGTTGAATCAACTGAAAATTCCATTTCTCGAGCCATTCCTTGATAGGCGCTTGACTAGCTTGAAATGAAGTACCTCCGTCGGAAAATACAAATGCAGGATGAATTCCCCTTATAGATACAAATCGTCTCCATGCCCGAAGGAACGAATTAGTATCCGGGGCCAGACACAGTTCCAGATGAATACAGCGAGTGGTTGCAAATGTAATAATTAAAACAGACGCGTTGATAACTACATTTCGAAATTGCTTTACTTTCAAGTATCCGAAAAAATCCATTGCTACAGAATTGAATGGTGCCATCTGTGGTTGCATTCGAAATGAAGGAAGTTCTCCCATGCGTTACTGTAGCAACTTTCTACGACGAATTCTGCAAAATATACACATTGATGCTATTGATTTTAAGAGTATTCTTCCACCAATAAGAACAATACCGTCATTCTTCATATTTGCCAATATAACTCGATACCCTTGATGTAAGAACTTTTTATGATAGAACACTCCAAGAAGACGAACGAGGGAATGTTTGCCCGGAAGTACGACTGGATGCTTCATTCCCATATATAAATCAGTTCTATTCAGTCTTCCATCAATACGAAGAATTCCGTGAGAATCGAATAACAAGTCTAATTTCCATAGAGTTTTGACAGCCTTCCCAAATTCATCAATCATAGATTTTTGACAAATTCTGAATACACACAATTTTGCTTTCTCCATGTATTGTACGACATCGGTCTTGCCATGAAGAAAAATTATCCGCTAAATCGTTATCAATTTGATAAGGCAAATCTGCTTTAACGACGTTGAATTGTCTTTTTCCGCGATATGCTTTTGACTTAGTTGGTGGTTTTTCTTCCCATATTTCTTGACGTAATTCATCTAATTTTAAGTCATCATCATTCGGCCAATATTCCATTGGTTGCCTAAGAAATTCAAGTCCTTCATGCCAAATTGTAAGCTTCTCGCAGGAAATAGGTTTTGTTAAACAATCTGCAGCATTAAGAAGACTTGGAATGAAATTGACTTCTTTTGTTAGATTCTTATGTGTATCTTGAAATTCTTGTACTCTTGAAGCAACGAATGGTTTGAATTTTCCAGATTGGGAGTTCAACCAATAAATAACAACTTTGCTGTCTATCCAGAAATATTTGAATGCAATATTGTACGGTAGTGCTCTACTTATTTCATGCACCAATCTGCTCATGCCTATTGCTCCCATTAGCTCCTTTCTTGGAATACTTTTGCTTTGAGTGGCGCCACAAATCCCTTTGCTGCAACGAATGTTAGCTTAACTCCACAAGTGCCATAGACTAAATCTCCACCGTCTGAAAATGCGTGCAGTTGAGGAGGTCCAGTTGTGTTTTCAGGTTTCAGACATCTTGGAGTTGAAACTTGAGCTAACTTGGACATTTCTTGAACATTGTTATACCAGCATTTGACCACATCATCTGGCGAAGTTTGGTCCCAGCTAAATCCATCTGCCCAGATCCTTTGAAGATCTATTCTATACTGCATTGTGACTGGGAGTAAATAACCCAGAGGGTCCCACAATTTCATTACACATGCTAATGCTTTTCTTTTAGAAAATCCTGTTTGCATGAAAGAATTTTGATCTGAAACTGTCATCAGTTTTATTCCAGGAATGTCCAAGTACATCAACAACTTTTTCACCAGGATTTTGATCCACTTCAGGATGGTTTGAGTTCCAAATCTTTATAGAGAATTTTCCACGAATAAGTATTTGATGAACATCATTGATAACCTTGTTTGCAAGAATGTGATTCGAAACAGAATGACTGACATCATCAATGTATGTATCTTTGTCCAATACAACAGCTTCAAGAGGATGATCTTTTCGAAATTTATCGGCTAAAAATTTAATTGTAAAACATGCCGAGTCAGGACTGGATTTATCTCCGAACATAACCCGAAGCCATTGAAAGATTGTTAGTTGCAACGATGAATCACCATAGCGCCAAAGGAAACGATGAAATTTCTGATCGACTTCTGCCATTTGAATTTGATTAAACATTTTCGATATATCACCAGCAATAGCCACACTATCAGCTCACCATGCCATGAAACATCTGAACAAAGAATTCGCAAAGCTGGGGCCTTTCTCCAAACCATCATTGAGACATGTGCCCTTAAAAGGACACGCAGAATCAAATACTATTCTTAATTTTGTTGAGGTTTTATCCGGACGTTCTACGATACGATGATTGAGGTACCATGCATTTTCGACTTTAGCCGTTTTCGTTTCAACCGGTGTTAATCGTCGTACTACGCCTCGCTGAAGCAGATTTTTTATCTCCATATTATACTCTTCCGTTTTTCCTTTTCTGCACAATTCTTGTTCCCGTTTTTTTTTTCATTTGTTCATACGCCTTCTCAAAATTGTTGTGCAATTTTTCTGGGAAACCAGGTTTCCATGGCATTTTGACACAAACAAGGCCATCATCACCAATATTGGTTGTCGCTTTTACATGTTTAATAATTGCTGATTCTGCAATTTCTGAGTTAGAACAAACACACAAAGTTGTGGGTTGCACTCCAAGAACTTCACCATGGAAAAGCTTGCGCAACTCTTCATTTTCTAATGATGAAAAACTATTAATATTTGCTACATGATTGAAAGATCGTTGCGGTGCTTGAATAATGCCTCCATATAGATAGCATCCAAGAGATGTGAAAGCTGCTGAAGGATGATTATCAGGATCAATTGGCGAACGTAACGAATGCATTGTTTGAATTAAAGGTGCATAATCTCTACTAACAAGAACATGGACTGTTTTTTGCCCAACTGGTATTTTATCCTGAATTCTTCTTAGATAATCAAACTGTTCAAAAATAGATGGCGGAATTGGTGTAACATCGTGTGTAAGGTTTTCTCACAGCCGTAACTCTGATATCAAATATCTGGTCTCGTGAAAAGAGGTCTAATTTTTAAATTATAATCTTCAGAAGGTTCTTCATGAATGGCTCCTCCTGCGACACCAAACCGAATTGTTCCATGACTTATTGCCTTTTGTTTCAATGATTTTACAAAGTTACGTCTTACCAAAGAATGGTTACTGCCACCATCAAGAAAGAAATTTGCCTTGATCCATGCTTTGTCACTCGCCTGCACTTCTGCAACAAGTAATGGAGAATAATCCAAATTAAAAGCGCTCAATTGTCTTGAATGCATCTGAGATTGGTTGAATACTGCTGCATTAGAGTGAATATGTTGACTTTCCAAATTCGAGTCGTTTATACCAGAATTTCTCATTGTATTGTAATTTCCCTGTACTTTTCCGGGACATAATGACCAATAATGCGGTCTTTGGTTACAATTTACACAGCTATCGGCTGTTGTTCTTGCACAATTTCTTGCAAAGTGAGTTCCTAGACATATAAAACATCTTCGATCATCTGCTATAAAGTTTTTTCTTTCAGGAATTGATAGGTTTTGATATTTGTTGCAGTCTATAAGGCGGTGCTGAATTCCACATCCAAAAATACAAGTGACTGTCCTTTGACGTGGCTGAACTGAACCCATGTTATCATTCTCGTCTGTATCATGATTAACCGTATTGAAATTAGATCTTGGCGACTGGTTTTGTCTCGGTCGAAACCTCATATTCTCGGTTTGATTGATAAAGTTACCAGATATTTCCAACGCTGTAGCCTCAGATCTCAGAAAATTCGTTATAGATTCCAAGTTATGATTGCCTTTGCTGAAACTATTATATCGCAGTGCAGTGTCTGCATCTAGACACTCTAATGCTCTATTGACAGAAATAACCGAGTTTGCATCCTGTTTTAACCCAAGATCTTCCATATGTCGGCAGAAGAGAGAAATTTCGTGAGCTAGTCGCCTGAGGTTCGCTGGATTACGAGAGGTCTTATATAAAGGTTTTATTTGCTCGTATTGCTTGATTACTTCACGTTGAACTACTGATTTAGTAATACGCTCTTCCAGGCGTTCCCATGCACTTGAAATTGATTTACAGTCACATATCATTGTTTGATAATCGTTTGGCATTGCACCATTGCGTAAAAGCCATGAAATTTGCACTGAATCATCCGTAATTCTAGCATGGTGCATTATATGTGTAAAACGTTCTTTCCAGGTATAAAAGTCTACTTTTTGTCCGTTCCAGCATGGCGGATCCATACCACATAACTTAATCATAGGAGGATCATTATTATAATTGTTTTGAGTGGTTACAAGAGATGATATCACCGGCTTTATATCTAGTTTGTCTTCATATTACTCAAAATCGATTGCAATCTTGTTTTCCACACTTAAAATTTCTTCACTAAATTTGGATATAACGGGTTTTTCCTCACTTTGTTTAGTACTGTCTTCTTCAATTAGAGCCAATTCCATAGTATCAATTAGACAGACCAAAAATGCTATTTTATCGTTAGCAACTTTTTGCTGATGACACAAGTACGACATTCATATCTTCTAGTATCACTGATTTGTCCCGTAAAGTTGAACTAAATTTAGACAATATTTCCCAATGGATGAAATGTAACAAATTGACCATCAATCCTGAAAAAACTCAAGTATTATTAATAAATCATCCGTGTGCTAGAAAAAACGAGTATTCACCTATGCTCAATTTGACTCTAAATAATGTCAGTTTAAAAGTACACGAAGCTGTGAAATACCTTGGGATACTCATTGATAATAGGCTTAAATGGGATAGCCACATCAACTTACTTAAATTAAAACTTTCTAGGGCTGTTTGAATAATGTCAAGGCTGAAACATTTGATTCCTAAAAAATATTATGCGAACTGTTTACTTCTCTCTATTTTATTCCCACCTTCAGTATGGAATTGTGACATAGGGCTCTGCTGATAAAAGTAGACTTCATGATCTATCAGTTTTACAAAATCGAGCGCTTCGCATTATGACAAGTACTGCCTTGCGTCATAGTATGAGCCCCGTTTACAGGCGTTTAAGTCTTCTTAAATTAAATGATGTTTATATTTATGAAGTTGCAAAGTTGATGTTTCAATTCAGGCATGACATGCTTCCAGAAGCATTCAATTCATATTTTACAGACTTTAGTTCTGTGCATTCATATGGCACTCGCTCTGCAACAAAAGGTACATTGTTTATTTCTCGTACAAGTTCAAAATTTGCTCAAAATTCAATCAAAGTCACTGGACCCAGAATCTGAAATAATATTCCTGATAATTTTAAGACATTTTCGTATAAAAAATTTAAAATTGAGTACATGAAGCATATCATATCCAAATATTAATTAATGGAGGAGCCAGCTCTATCTTACTGGTTACTGATGACTCCTGTAGATAAGTGTCAGGGAGGCTACCTATATCTGGTTTTCTGCCTATTGTATTGTAATTTACTATTATAATTAGTAGTGCCTGCTAACTTATGTCATTGACCAGTATCACACTAGGCCAATATTTGTGACATGTGCATATCCAATTATAGACTGTCCAACAATTTTTAAATTAATTTGCCTGCTATGCATACCCTTTACAGCTGTATATAATTTTTGATTTTCCCCAAAATCTTCAATCACTACTATAATAGCATATTGTGATAGCCTACATATATCGCCTATTTATGGATTCTCTAACTTTTGTACTTCTACTCAAAAATTAAACTGAGTAATGTATATTTCCATTTGTGTATGTTTGAAATTTTTGTCTCATTAGGCTTTCTGTAGTTTGTGTATTGAACTATTCAGAAAGTTAGCCTCATATTGTTTTGTGCATAATCAAGTTTTTCAATAGTCCTAAATGAGAATTCTTTCTGAAATAATCGACAACACCAAATTCTGCAATTAAACATTCTGGTTACAATGTTATTTGTACCAAACACTACATGGGTTGTATATATATTTACGGTTGTATTATGTGGATCAAAATACCATTTCAGTAAAATTAGTAGCATAACCTTCCAATATGTGTGGCAATTATAAATTGGTGGGATTCTTTTAATGAATTTGATAACTCAAATATGATATGTATGTTGTTTTGATACATGTTTTCAATTAATAATCTATGACTCCAATACCTCCTTCCTACATTATATATCATAGCCCACTCTTCTGAATTGTCCATACTGTAGGCCTAATGGGTTGAATCAAGCCCTGTTCATTGCTCTTCTATTCATCATGTTTTGTATTATTGGTACTTTGGTTATCCCTGTCTAAATGATGTGCCAATATGTATATCATGTCTTACTACT